TATCAGACGGTGACAAGTGCTAGGAGAGTAATGAAGGCTGGAAAGGGGACAGGGAAGGACCATGAATGGTGGTGCCGAGAGTTGCTATTTTATACAGGAGGACCTGGGGGGATTATCTCGATGAAAAGGTGACACCTGGCAGAAATTCTAGTGTTTCCTTTATTCCATGATAGCATGAGGATGAAGTGTTCCAGCCAGAGAGGACAGCAGGCACAAAGCTCGGTGGCGCAGGCTTGACAGGGTGCAGTGAGGACACCAGCCTGGCTGCAGCTGAATGAAAGAGGGAACAAGCTGTGGACAGAAGATCAGAGAGGTTACCGGGGGTCAGGATACAGGGAGCCCTGGTGGCCACAATAAGGACTTTGTCATTGACACTAAGATGAGAAGCCAATGGGAGTTTTTCAACAAAGGCATGACCAGGTCTGGCTAACACACTGAGAATGGACAGTGCAGTTGGGCAGGCTTGGGGGAAGAAGCATAAGTTTTATATAAGAAAGTAGCTTGGCCCACGGTGGTCGGTGCAGAGATGATGAGAAGTGGTTGGATTCATTGTTAAGTTTTGAAGTTGGTGACCACAGGATGGGCTTACTGGGCGTCAGAGAACAAGATGATGAGCTAAGGATGACTCTGGGTTTTTGGCCCAAGCCACTGGAAGAATGGGGTTGCCATTTGCTAAGATGAGACAGACAGCAGGAGAAGCAGATTTCGTGGGAAATTCGGGAGTTTTTGGATCTGATGAGTGAGCGATGCTTATTACACAGCCAAGTGGAACTGCTGGGCAGACAGTTGGATGTACAAGCCCGGAGCTCGGCAGAGGGGCTGGGGACATAAATTGAGACGTCACCCACATATGGAAATTTAGGTCTTGTTGAAAATGTGATATATTTCAATAGGAATAACATCTATTTCTCGTTCAAAGAGTATTTCTGCTGTACCCTCTGAATTGTATCAGCCTGAAGCTTATTTTTACTTCCTAAGTTGTTACAGAGGTAAAAAGGGAGGTTGAGGCAGCGTCCTTTCTCATCTCCCAAGGCACAGGCTCTACTCCACACGCAAAGTCAGATGGGAAAGAAACTCTGAACAAACTGACTTTTCATCTACAACATCTCGATGTCACACCGACCTCCTACCGTCTGAAGAAGAATGTTCCCAAAAGCAGCATTCTGAAAAAAAGGTATTTGTCCAAAACTCAAATAAAATTTAATTCTAGACCTCTGTACACAATCAAGTCTCTCTTGCGGCAGCAGCAAAGGAACAAATCTGCTACAACACTCAGCACTGAAATAGCAATTAGAAAAGTAACAAAATTAAGGTGCTGAGTATCCCCTATTATATGTGAGCGCCCAGCATGATGTTTCCTAGGAAACCAAAAACCTCCCAGGCACAAATACTGTAAGATACAGTCCCCCACGACGTCGTGTTTTAGATCTTCCCCACGTATCACATTTAGAAATCAAGGACCTCCTAAGCTCTTCGAACAAACACAAACAAAGCAAAACAAAACATCCACTTTCTACTTTTCCACTGACCCAGAGAATAGATACGGCAAGGTCTTAGGAACAAACACTATAGAGCCTTACTAAACAAAAGCAAAAATACAACAAAAAATAATATGGCCCACAAAATCCTCCAACCAAACCAAAGACTTTCCTAGTAGTATTATATTCTGATACATCAAACATTTTCTGTCATTGCTTTTTTCTTTTCCTTTCTTTTTTTGCCATTGCCTTTAAAAAAAAAATCTCACTAATTTAGATAAGGAATGAAGGCAAAGAAAGAATAAAGAGAGAGGCTAATTTGAATTTTCAACGTATCCGACATTAAATATTTTAAAGACATAATTATGACATTAAAATATACTTAATATTTAGGACTAAACTATTAAAGTTTTACCAAATATAATTCTTTTAGGGATCAACTACATGGGTGAATCTCCCAATAATTATGAGTGAAATAAGCCACACACAGAAGTGAACTTACTAACTGAGCCCATTTATATAATATTTTAGAAAATGCAAAATAATCTCCAGTGAGTGAAAGTAGATCACTGGTTGACTGAGGTCATAGGTGAAGGGCAGAGGACTCTAAAGGGTCACAAGGACTCTTTGGGGCTCATGGAAATTTCCATGTCCTGATCGTGGTGGTGGCTTTCTGAGTAGGATTACCTGACATTCATCACTGAATTGTCTAGTTTAAATGGATACAGTGAATTGTACATAACTTATACCTCAATAAAGCTGATTTTTAAAAAAATAATGAGAACTGATGAAAAAAGAATCAATACAATGTAACATTTTAAATTAGCATATCTAATTTTGGTGTAAACAGAGTTTCTAAACTGCTTGTTAGTGCATGTACATAGTTTTTTCCTTAGCTACTTTAAACATTCATTGCCTCTAGACTGGATTTTGTGATTAATTTGCCAGACAAACCTCATCCCGGGTCCCCCAAACGTTAACGCCACCCTAATTCCTCTCTGAATTAACAAAAATTCTCAATGAGTGTGGTCCATATTAATGAGGCTTTTTCTCTAACTGCAAAAGAGGGAGGAAGTCCTTCATAGCAAAGCTCAGGGTTGGCGTGGGGGACAGCTGTGACAACCATATGACTTCCAAGCTTTGTTCTAAGGTTGGTTCTGTTTCAGACATTTTTATGTTCTCATGCCAATGCCTTTTTACATAAACTTCTGCCGATAAGCATACAACTGAATTGCTCAGAAAGGCAAGATTTAAATCCACTTGAAATTTATCTCATAAAAATGAAAGACTAGCTGTAGAGACACAGTGATGAAATGACATACATGTCCACACTCTGAAGCCAGCATGCATTGAAGACCTACTATTTGTGATGGACTGTTTTCCAAACATTCTCCTTATTCAATACTCACCATAATCCTCCACTATAAACATTATTATTATTCCCCTTTTTTTCATGATGGAAACCAATATTCAGAGAGGCTCAGTAATTTGCCCAAATTCACCCAGGTACTAAGAGGTAGAAATGAGACTTAAATATTTGGGGTACATTAACTGATATTTGGTTATAGTTCCATAAACTCAAAACTTCAGCAAGTAGATACATACAGCTTTGGATTCAAAGCATTAGTATTTTTTGCATTACTAATGAAAATGCATGCATTTAATAAGTACATGGCTAATGTTTTGTGGGGCTTTTGCTTGTCACCAAAATGTCATATTCTTTCCATTAGGCAATAACATTTGATAAAATGATTCACCTGCACTTTTTAAGAGTAGACTTTTTATAAAATAAAGTTACATGAGCTTCTAGGGAATGTCTTCAAATTTGGGGAGAACTAATGCTCTCTAGGAAAATCCAGAAATGTGGTGAATTGTAAAACAGAAGACCAAGGAACCAGAAAAGATGGCACTTAGGTAACAGGAGAGTTAATTTGGAACCAAGCAGTTCAAACACTTCTTTGACTTATAATCAGTCTCATGGCTGACTATAACATACAGATTTCTTAACTATTGCTCAGCACCTACAACTGCCATTTGACAGAGAAAAACCATACATGTGCTTCCAGTGTGGACGCTGTTAAAATATTGATAGAAAAATGCCATAACCTACTAAAATATTTTTTAAATAACAGAAGATTGAATACATGCAATGGTGAACATTTATTTGCATTATGACATGATCACAAGTTAATGTGTCATTTCAACATCCCCATAAGGAAAAGAAGAATACATGGAAAATAAATTGTTAGCCAAACCCTCAATTCTTCGACATACCCTTGGCTATTCAAAATCTGAAAATCATTAATAAATCATGAAATTAAGTATACATTCTGATCTTCATCAAAAATTCTCTTCCATCATTAAGCTTAATACTGTATATGGTGCTCCAGAATTTATTTATTCTGGTAATAGTTACGGTGTTAACACTCTGATGTAGTTTCTATTAGTTTTTTTTTTTTTTTTTTTTTGAGACAGAGTCTCACTCTGTTGCCTGGGCTAGAATACCATGGCATCAGCCTAGCTCACAGCAACCTCAAGCTCCTAGGCTCAAGTGATCCTCCTGCTTCAGCCTCCCGAGTAGCTGAGACTACAGGCATGCACCACCATGCCCAGCTAATTTTTTCTATATATTTTTGGCCAATAATTTCTTTCTATCTTTTAGTAGAGACAGGGTCTCGCTCTTACTCAGGCTAGTTTTGAACTCCTGACTTTGAGCAATCCGCCCACCTCGGCCTCCTAGAGTGCTAGGATTACAGGCATGAGCCACCGCACCCGGCCGTCTATTAGTTAATTCTAATAAATGTACTCACAGGAGACACCTAGGAATTATATCACTTACAGTACAGCGTTTATGTGAGTGGAGAAGCTAATTTCATCTTAAATTTTTAAAAACACATGTTCAAGTGTAGTCTCTACGTGAACATTTGGCTTTCTTATTTCTTCCCTCTTTTGGTAATCTCCAGTGTTAATGGAAGGCAGAAATAACCTAATGGGGGTGATCATGTCATGCTGTGATCCCAGTGGTACTTCTCCTACGCCTGGTGAGAATTCCCAGTGCCATCACATGTACATTACCTGCCCCAGTTAGAGTACAAGGGAGGGGACGGAGCACACAGCCACCATCTGCTTCCCTCCCCCGGCATCCCTGGAAAGGCAGACAAGGGTGGGAGTTTCTTCTAGAGACAGGAGCAAAGTGTACTTCACACAATGAGCCCACTGAAGTGTCTTCAGGCAGCAGCTTTGGACCTGGCATATGAGAAAGCTATACAGACAGCCCGAGGTAGCAGCGTCCGACCCACTGTCAGGGCTCTCGGTTTTCAGGCTAGCCCAGAGGTTGCAGACAAGCAAGGCCTGTGCAACTCCCTGTCCTGAGACAGATGCAGGCTTCTCCAATGTTCCAGGGGTCTCAACACTCCTTATGTCTCACTCGGCCTGCTTCGTTCATTTATTTTCCTGCCTGGTCCCTTTAGGCAATGGAGTTTGCACCCCGGTCTGTACTTATCAAACAAACAAGGTACTCACAGTTGCATGACCAAGTACAAGTGATTTGGGCTCTCGTAGATGTCTTCCAGGGCAACGATGTTTTCATGCTTAATCCTAAAAGGAAAGAAAAAAAGCATACATACAATGGTAAGTACTATTCGACATGAAAACTTTCAAAAACAGATGTCTCTATAGCAAAAAGTTACAAGCCAGAATCCAAATTCTTTAACAAAACATTGAAGACTCTTCATAATCCTGTCCCCAAACTCTTTCCAGACCTGTTTCCACATTCCCTCTTGTTACCGTCCTAATATTATCTTGCAAGACCCAACTCAAATGACTGAGCCCCACGGCAGGATTTCAACGTTCCCTCTTCTGCTGTCCCACGATGGCCATGGCAGACTGGCCTGAACAGTCAAGTGTACACACATTCATCCCCCGTACCAGGCCGTATGTTCCAGGAAACAGTCTCACTGTCATGTTCATGGGTACAGTGTAAGCAAAAAACCCAGCCTGACTCCCTCATTGGGGTTCACATCTCTGCCACCACCAAATGTCAAATGAGTTACCCAAGCAGACTAGACCAGTGCTACTCAAAATACGGTTCTCAACCGGGCAGCACCAGCGTCTCCAGGGAGCGGGGTAGAAATGCATGTTCCCAGGCCTCGCCACTGTCATGCAGTGTCACAGGCACTGAGGATGGGGCACAGGTGTCTGCATTTTAACAAGATCCTCCGATGACCTGTAGGCACAAATGTAGAGCTTGCGAAAACTGCTATATTAGATCAGAGCTTCTCAAACTTCATGCAAATAGATCACCCAGGGGTCTGGCTACAAGGCAGGCTCTGATTTAGGGGCTGGGGTGGGGCCTGGGAGGCCGCATTCCTAACCAGCTCCTGGGAGAGATGCTGTTACTTCCAGTCCATGGACCACACTCTGAACAGCAGTGCCCTAAATAAACAACCAAGGGAGAAAAAAACAGCCAGATTCTACCCCCTCGAACTATCCATCAGGATCAGCTTCCGCCCTAGAATGAAAGGCTTGATATTGTTGAAAGCATTTAAAAGAAGGATAATTTTCATTACTTGATGAGCTAATTACCTCTTACCACAAGCCCAACACTGAAATAACCTCAGAACCATTTAAAAATAAGCATGTACCATGCAGATTCTTGAGCCCCTTGAAAGCAGAGATTGCATTATTCACTTTATTTCCACCCAGCCTAGCACAGATTTGCTTAACAAATATTTGAATGGATGATGTTTAAAGGTGTTGTCACTCAACAGCAAGAAACAACATTATTTAGTTAGGGAAAAGGGAGGCAATTATCCTAAGTGTATGATGTCCTCCCCACAAAAATAAGTTTATAAGGTGGAACCAACAGTAATAAAAACTTCCCATCTATGGCTCTTATTAGCTAATACAGTTGATTTGTAGGAGATACAACAACAAACTATGCTACATTCACATAAAACCTAGTTATTTCTTTGTCAGCAGTAGTTGCTGCACAACCCGAGCACAATAATATAAGCAACATATTATATGGATCAAATAAATTATACCACTAAGGAAACCAAGAGAGCTTAATTTGGGACTGTCACTATCCTAAACACAATTGTGGCATTTTCATTATTAGATACACCTGAATTAATATAACCACCAAAAGTATACATCATGTAAATCTTCACTCCTTGGAAAATTTTAAAAATTGGCCATTGGAATCAATGAACACAAATATTTTCTTCCAGTCAAGTTAATCTGGGAGTTGATTAAGGACCCAGACTGATGGGAAAATGGGAGGAATGGGATTATGCCAGATCAAATGCAGGGCACGCAGTTACATCTGAATTAGAGATACACAACGGATACTTTTGTAGTACAAGTTATGTCCCAAAGACTGCATGGTGGTTTAGCTGAAATTCAAATGTAACTGAACACCCTGTAATTTCATGTGCTAAATCTGATCACCCTGGTTACATGAATCACTCAATCAGCCTTTAAATTGGGTTTAGAGTTTGGCACCTGCAGTCCTACCTTCCCTTGGAGCTTGAACTAAGAAGGCTGTTTAGAGCTCTCGAGTTCAGTCATTAATACAGATTCAACTATATACAAAGAATCAACTATGAACAAAGCACTTGCCTGGCCAAAATGTCAGACTCTAATAAATTAAGACCACAACTCCCTCCTTGGATGTATGGGATTGAGAAGGTAAAGCCTATTTTAACCTGTCATATTTTATGTGAGTGCTAACTAGAAATTAATTTTAATCCATAAGAGCATTCCAGAAAGGTATTGCAGACAGCAGATCAACTTCAAATCATAGTGGAACAGTGGCTGGAAAGATACTTTCACTAACTAGCCCTCTTCCTGTATCAAGGAATCAAGAGACTGAGCAATTGTCATTTACTAAGTCTCTGCTATATGTCTGGAAGAAGGCAAGACAAATATAAAATAAGGTTTTGCCCTCAAAAAGTGTATCACTTAGAGAGAGACCCATGATGCAATTAGAAAAGAATTAAATGCTAAACTCTGTAGATTTGCCTTTAAGGTCAGAAAAACAGGGCCCTGTATGGGGGCAGAATTATGGGGATGGCCTCAAGAAAATGATGAGGGTTGAGCAGGTAATGCTTGAATAAGCATACTTGAGAAATTTCGAATAAATCCTAAAATGGCCTCTTAAACTGCTCTTAAGAAAAGTGGTTTAATTAACTTGGAGCTGTTCGAACATGGAAAAAGAAAACTTGCTGGTCTCCCACATCTGTTCTCAGGTATTTTATTCCACCCTCAGGCTCCTTATCATATACAAAAACTGAACTTAAGAGTTTTAACGTTATTTTAGTACTTAGGTTATTTTTACAAAATGGTATAATGTGCATAATTCATACATTTAGGACGAACGCACCATCACTAGCTGAGGATCTATCCCATGCAAATGCTTCCCACATGCTGCCTCCTCTCTTTTTATTATTCATTCAACCAACATCTGCTGGGTGCCCACCATGTACCAGGCACAGTTCTAGGTACTGTGAATTCAGTGAAGGACAAGATATAAGAGATAATCTTGGGCTTCTTGGAACTCACACAGGCTACAGCTAGAACACTTCTCAGACAGTCTGTCTCCTATTTACTAGAAAATCAGCCTCCTGGTAACTAGCAGTGACTCCTAAGAGTAACAGAGAGCTAGTTTTGCCCTCTTCCTACTAATCCTGCATATTTGAGGGATATAATGCCACTGCTTAGTCTTCTCTTCTTGTTGTCGACCAATCTTCCTACAATATGGTTTATATTTTTCTCATCACTCTTTGTCACTCGTGTTTGTCCAGACCACAGTATTCAGAACTGGAAGTAATGATCCCAGTGTAAAATACAGTCTTAAGAATAGGATATTGCCAAGTGCAGGGGTTCAGGCCTGTAATCCCAGCACTTTGGGAGGCTGAGGAGGGAGAAGCACTTGAGGCCAGGAGTTTGAGCCCAGCCTGGACAAGACAGTGAGACCCCATCTCTACAAAAAAATAAGGAAAATAAGCCAAGTGTGGCACACACCTGTCATCCCAGCTACTGTGGAGGCTGAGGCAGGAGGATCACTTGAGCCTAGGTGTTTGAGGCTGCAGTAGGCTATGATTCTACCACTGCACTCCAGCTAGGGAAACAGAGTGAGACCCTGTCTTAAAAAAATAGAATATTAAATAATAAAGTAGAACTACTAACTACCATGAGATGCATATTATAATTCAACAAATAAAGGTTAACATTGGTTCTCTTTTTTTGTTTTTAGCAGCTGCAAAAACATTGGCACATAAGGAATATAAGCTCCATGTAGGTATGGATTTTTTACTATTTTGTTCATTACTGTCTCTCTTATGCCAAGCAAGTGCATGGCAGGTAGTTCATTTGATACATATTTACTGAATGAATGATGAATGAAAGAAAATGAAGCTTAGGTTCAAATAAAAAAGCAGATCGTTTTTATTTGAACTCTACCAAACATCATCTCTTTTCTTACTCAAACTTGATCTTTTGAGCTTAAAGTCAAGTTTTCACATTTAGCTTTGTTAAACTCAATCTTTTCGGATTCCATGCAGTGTTTCAGATGATCAGCAGTATTCAGAATCTTGATTTGTTCATCTATAGTATTTATTATCCTTCCTAACTTTGGGCCATCTGAATATTTGGTACACACCCATCCTACAAGTCATCTTCCAAATTCCTAACTAAGATTTTAAATGTCAGAGCTCCATGGGATTCCACCAGAGACCCCCATCAAGATAACCAAGACATTAATTGGCTGGCTTCAATTAGTGTCTAGTTGCAAACCTACGAGTAACTATCTTCTAGCCCACATTTTACCATCCTATCCATACATAAGAAGACAATTAGATGCTGTGCTGAAATGGAATTCCTCAGCTCTACACATCATATAATACTATTTAAAAGGGAAAAGGGATGTTTGGAAAGATTTGTTCTTAGTAAACCCATGTTAGCTCCTAGCAACCACTACAGTCTTTACTAAATGATCACAAACCATCTGCTTAATTTTCTGTTCCAGAATTTTGCTGTGCCGTGAAGTCATGCTTTCCAGTCTATAGATCTCAGAGTCTACCTTTTTTATGTTAGGAAAATGTGACAGCATCCCTTACATTGTTTTCTTAAACATTTCAACTGAGACTCTTTTGTGATAATGGCAATTTCCTCATTCCCCTGGGATGTAACAAATCTAAGCCTAGTGATGAGCTCATTTTATAACTTTCTTTAGGCCTTACTTACACAGTTGTTTCATATGCACCATTTATTGAGTGTTAACTATGTGTCAAGACTGTACTGAGCACTTTTAATGATTTCATCTACTATTAACAACCCTACAAAGTAAGTATTATTTTCTCCATTTTTAAAAGAGGAAGGAAAAAAGGGGGGGATACTATGATCCCAGGAGTTTAAGTAAGTGTTCCAAGGTCACATAACTCAAATTGTCATTGCTGAGACTCCATCTGAGTCCATTCTGATTCCCAAGCCCATGTTAAAGCAATTACATAATAATTCCATTTTTTTTTTATTTTTTTTTCTTAAAATGGAACTACAAAACAGTGGAATTTTATTTTTTTATTCTTATTTTTATT